CTCAAGAATGAGAAACCGATTTTCATTTGTGAATGCAATTATTGGGAAAAGAACGTCGATATGAGTGTAATGGACCAGATCATTGATGGTCTGAATCAGAAGTGGAAGTGGGAGGTCCTTTTTGTGTTTCGTATGACGGCGGCGATGTTTCGTAAGCCTTGGGGACATCGAAGCGTTGGCTGCGTCAAGATTAATTACCGGGATGGGGAAGTGAAATGGATTTCCAACCACCTAGAAATTAGGGATCGGAAACAACTTTAATTGGGTTTGAAATCAGTGATCAGGATAGCCCTGACGTGAAGAAGAACGACGACAGTTTCACTAAAAGCATTCAATGCAAAGGCGGTGGCGGACCCGCGGTATTGTAGAATGGCGCGCACATCTGTCGATGGAAGAGTCAGGTAAGCTCAGCAGAGTAAGCACTGCCGACCTCGCTGTCTGTAGCTTAAATTGCGCCATTTGCATGTTGAGGGATTTTCGAGTGTATTGTGACTGTTGAAAAATTATTGGACTCATACAAAACATGATCAATAACATTGTTCAAATGTCATTCTTACATTACGAAATATAAGAATCACCGATATGATTAGATAGTTAAAGAATGGAGAGCTAGTTGAATCATGGCGCGAGAAAAACGCTGACAAATTTAAAATAGAGCAACCAATGTGAATGTGGCGGTCAATAACTTCTGTCATAACATATAAAGGCACAGAAACATTTAACTTCCAGCGGATACTTGAACACGCTAGACACGAAAACAATGAGTTTTTATTATCTTCATTGTGAAGCTTAAAGAATGTGGTATTGATACCAAGTGGCTGGCAGACTCTCTCCAAATGCCAAGATACAGGAATTGGGAGTTATTTGTGCTATCCAACACTCAGTGCGGGGGATAGCTTTTTTTAATCCTCTCGGATGTGCACATTGTTCTCCATCGTAAAGCTTCTGCGCGGCGATCTTTTCAGTACGTTTGCGCTGGTAGTATCACATTTGCGCCGTCAGAATCTTGTCGTTATATTTTTTCAGCGTCTGGCAGACAAGAGCGGAGTAATAGTTCGCTTACTTTACACGGGGACAAGGTGAGATTGTTGGGTTTTGTGGTTGGTAGAAATGAGCGTACCTGATAGTGTAAATCTACTGGGTTGGTCTCCATAAATCTGGACTGAAACTAACGAGGATTAATCTGAGCGAGCTTCAAAGTCTGAGCGATATGTCTCAAAATCGGTCTTATTTTGGAAGTTCTGAAACAAGCGCTAAAACTAACGCGTTCATACTGCCATCACCCGGTGAAGAATCAGGCGCGGAGCGCATAATGGTTTATACGCTCACCACCAAGTGAGGATTATTAGACCATACCTATGATAGAATATCGTCACGAAAAGCTGAATGGAACGGATAGAACCTATCAATTGCGCTAAGGGAGGTTCAAGGGCCATACTTTAGCGTGGATAAAGGAGACAGAAGAGAAGACGAGTTCTCTTCCCTTACTCATTTAAATTCAGCTGCAAATTTGATTTATAGGCCTTAAGTAGTTCTTCGCCCCTCCAAGTTGAGACTGCCCTTTTCCCTATTACGTCGGTAATCGCTTCCTCGTCGCACAAGCGTGTCTCAGGAATTGTTGTGAATAGCGCTTCACACTCCTGGTAGCACGTAATGCGGTCTTTTCAACGACCCTCGATCTTTGTTTGGCGGCACGGCTGTTGAGCACTATTGGAAACAAGTTAATTCATACATAAGTAAACCAGGAAGAGTTATGAAACTCCTAACCATTTGCATAATTACATAGCTACAAGCAGATTACATTCAATTGGAAACTCACCTTCAAACCACCAGGTCCTTCCTTCCAATCTGGCATTTACAGAACATTGCGCAGAAGTAGTGTATCGGGCCACCGATTTACAACAGAATGATAATGTCATTCACAATGTGACAGACAAGAAAGAAAAGCTCACTCCAGCAGAAGTATTGCGTGAAATGCGGGAGATAATGCTACAGATGAAGGAAGAAGTACAAGATGTGAGGATAGAAGTAGCATCAATTAGGTCTGATAACGGACAGCGTCATCAGCAGCCTTCGGTACTTAGTAGTGCTTCGGCAGAAGCAATTAGGAGTGTCATGCTATAACTCATCAATAGTCAATCCCAACCTCACATGCCAGTATCACGTGGTTCAGCTCAGGGGGCACGAGATCTCCGTATGTCCAACGATGAATTCGTTTGCGATGACGCGAAACAGAGAGAACAGCTGTTCCAAGCGTAAAAAGAGCAACAAGAGGCACAGGGAATGCATGCATTCCCACCACAGCATCAACAGCAACAATTTGGCCCAAGGATTCCTAAATTGAAGCAAAGGATGCTCTTGATACCCCCTTTTGAGGGAAAAGAGACTTATAAGGGCTTGGTATCCGGCTTTGAGCTCTGGACTTTGCAATTCATGAGACAGGCCAACATGACTGTCACTCTCTCTCTGGCTTTGAATGGCCATAGAAAATCAAGGTTGATGTGTTAGAAAGCAAACTAAAGGGCACTGCAGTCGATTACTTCCAGAGAAAAATCCATCAATGGTGGGATGAAAATCCCTCATTTGGTCATGCTATTGACCAACTCACCAAGGCTTTTGCATATAAGATATCAACAGCCCAAGCTACAGAGATTTTATTATTAAAAAAAGGAGAAATCCATATCATGGACAGAACATTACTTATACCTCACAGCAGTGTCAGCTATGGCAGGAAGAAGAGACGACCTAGTACTAGAGAACATTCTGAAGTTCGCATGCCCTGACTTAAAGCAGGGACTGATGACCGTACAAGGAAGGATTTCTTGCGGCAAGCAGAGAAACTCACCCCTTTTGTTCAACACGTGGACAATGAACGGAACAAGCACGTGGACAAGGATCTTGGGCAGAACACAGCGAATTACAGCCAAACTACAACTGACAAGTGTTAC